GAATCAAGTTAGGGAGTTTAAATATCTAGGAAGTATGATCACAGAAGATGGTATAATTGACAGAAATAGAAACCAGATGTCAGAAAGCAAGTGCGCTTATATACCAATTGTCACCAGTATTATCCAAGCCTAACTATGAGTGCAAAGAGACATATTATTAATAGCATATTCATTACAACATTGAGCTACCAGTGCCAAACATGGACACTATCTAAAGCCCATATAAGCAAAACCACCACCTGCGAGATAAGGTGCCTGAGAAAAGCAGCCAACCTAACCATACGAGATCGTGTGAATAATGAAACTATCAGGTAAATTGTGGGAACGACATCTTGATTCTTGATTCATCGCGAAACAGCAGATCAAGTGGTTTGGCCATCTCGTTAGAATGCAGCAAGATCAGATACCATCACAAGCACTACATCTCTGAAGATCAACTACAAGAGCAAGAGGACGGCCGCGGAAAATTTGGATCGACAACATTAAAGACACTCTACGCCTTCACGGCATGACAATAGCCAGTGGCAGCCAACGTGCACTGGATCGCAAATTATTCCTTCCCATGTCGCTTAACGGCAAAAGTGGTTTATGATGATGATGATCAAGGGCTTGTATTAAGCATCATTGACTATAGTCTTGGCCTCCTCATTGTCAGCAAAACCCAGCTAGAAAGACTGGACCGAGTTTAAAATGAGGTCATGAGACTCATACTCGGCTACACAAAAGACACCTCCTGCAACGCCATGCGTTATGTCCTGGGTTTGCCGACGATGACAAGCAGATACAAAATGGCACAGATCAAGGCGTACATCAGGGTATCGGCAGACGTTAACCACTCACTGCACAACGCTATACACGACACAAAAGGAACGCGTCTCAAAAGAGGCCGCTCTTGGATGGCAAAGGCTGAGAATTTAATCTAGCAGGTATGTGACCTAGACGTGATGGAAATAATGGACGAATACACCAGTAGACATGCTTGGCATCTCTAAGGTTGTCATCACACTCGGAAGGTAGTGATCAAATTCCTGAGGCCTTAGACACAAAAGTAACGGAACTGATTGATCAGCATTCAGACCCAGGATATATCATTATCTACACAGATAGATCCGCGAAGCGGGGATCAAGGTCAGCATGGGCATACACAGCGCAAAGAAGGGGGCAAACAATACAGGAGGACAGTGGCGCTTACCAGACAACCACGTCAAGCATGACCATGGAAATAACCGCTGCTTCTAGGCTTTAGCATAGGTATCCGAGCAAACCGCCACTCAGGCAGTTATTGTATCAGACTCCATGAATATGCTTCAGAGGATAGCAACAGGCGGTATGCGCTCTGAATGGGTAAAAAGCATTCGAAAATCGCACTTAACCCCCGTAACCTGGATCACACCGGGTTATGCGGGCGTGAAGGGAAATGAGCGAGCGGACCAACTGGCAAGCACTGCACTAAGGATTGCGGGAAAAAGCATGGACAGAGCAGATATCGTCAACACTGTACGGACTGGGCTAGTGGATAATGAGGAATCCCTGACACTAACACGGTTGCGTGACATTTGAGTAAAGCATGGTGAAGCACGTCTTTGCCGAGATAGGAGACAATATAACCAGCTTCTCATGGAAACAATTAGTAGAAATACTTTGGAGTGGCTGCGGCATCGGAGGACTGAGCTCGCATGGGAATGCCGAATGTGCAGTGACGTCGATTGTGATAACATGAAATAACATAACATCTTGTAGGGAGGCGGCAGTCCGAAACCCAAGTTTAAGGTGTCACCTTCGTGCCAAAAAACTGCATGTCTGTTGGATGAAAAGTCGTTAACAAATGCAGCCAGGTCGTTATAGAGGCGACGCTTGCTGGTGGATGTGAAGTCCTAAGCCGCTTTCCCAGCTAATAGTGAGGGTACTGCTGGGGTGACCGTTTATTAACCCTCACATAATGCTTCAGGTCAAAATGGAAGCCAGGCACGGTCACTTTTTTTTTTTAGCCCTGGCCAATTTTTTTGCTTCTGCCAGATCGTGGCCGTTGCATTTTTGCTCCATTTGTAGACTGGAAGGATATAGTTCGTTGCCCACCTTCTGAGTTGAGTGCATGGCGTAACACTGTGAGCTGCGGATTTCATTCGAACTATGATAAACATTTTATGTGTTTTTTGTTGGCACAGGAGCGGAGCACCTATGGGGTGACCCGTTTGCCATGAAGCTGAAACTAAGATTACCAGATTACACACAATGGCTGAATCAACGAAAGGGCGAACACATTAATCATGCTACTAACATTTCTGTGCCGTCTCTACAGTGAAAGTTGGTTATAGTGTGATTTTGCTGTCTTTAGAAATAGAACGCGGTGAGGCACCAATCTTTGTCACTATGCGACTCTCTTACTAGTGTTTAGAAAAAATAATAAACAAACATATAAGTACTGATCAGCACCCATAGAAAGAAGTAAAAAATATAAAAGGTCACACATAACAACATAAAAATCGAAAGCTATAGTTACCATGCCGGAAATCGAAACCTGTAACGATGGCGCCTCGGCGCAGGAACAAGTGTAGTCTTATTCTTTCTTCTTCGCGTTCATGGCTGTAAACTCCCTCGGAAAGTCTGGTTGTTTGTCAACCTCTGGACTTTGATCATGATCCAGAACTTGAGTTTTTGCATGCACATCCGTTTTACATATCTGACTTATTTTTAAGCAGACTTTGCCCCTCGCCTCTCATAACGTCGCTCTCATCACGGTCTGCAGGAAAGAAACTCGGTCTCTCGCCAGCTCTCCCGCCTCATGTACTTTCGTACTCAATGAGTCACATATATCCTGTGCCCATCTTCGTGTTGGTCGGCCCCTGCCCCTCCTTCCTGGTACCATGCCTTCTGCTACAATTTGTTTCAATCCGTCGTGGCGCTTGATATGACCAAAATATTTCAGCTTCCGAGACAGGATGCTGTTTGTTAGCCAATCTTTATTGATGTTCAGATCTTTCAATATGTCAGTATCTCTCCTCTTCTTTGTCCAAAATATTCTGAGAATCTTTCTATAACATTTCAGCTCAAAAGCCACTATTCTCTTTCTTAAGGACTAGGAGAGAGTCCATGACCCACATCCGTATGTTGCTACAGGAAGAGGCATGCTCTCAAAATTCTCATTTTCATCACCTTGCTGGTGCTTAAAAAAGAGACTTTTTAGGCTGTTTAATCTTTGTATTGCTTTTGTCATCTTCCTTTTAAATTCTCCCAAACAGTCTCCATTGCTTTTTATTATAGATCCTAGATATTCAAAGTTTGTGACATTTTCAATTTCTTCACCATTTATTGTTATTTATGGATGACAGCCAATTTCATCTGTGGACATTATTTTCGTTTTATTTAAATTCAAGAACAGATTTTGATCTTCAGTGTGCTTTTGGACAGTCACTATAAATTTTCTTTTCACTTAGGCTTGCCACCAAACTGTCACAAGTCTGGTCATTTTTTTTTTATATTTCTCATTATATTTTCTGCAAATATATTGAACAGGTACGGTGAGAGAATGCACCCCTGCCTCTCTCCCTTTTGCACCTAAAACCAATCCAATGTTTCACCAGCTGCTCTGATGGTTGCATGTTGTTTATAATACTGATTTTCAAATAAATGCACCAACTGCGCTGGAAACCTCACACCTCTCATAACAGTCCACAGTTTCTTGCTATAATCAATAAAACAAGTATGAAGATCTACGTTGTATTCTCTACATTAAAAAAAATTATTCTCACATCAAAGATGTGATCCCTAGTTCCTGTGCCTAGTCTGAAATCCGCTTGTGCTTCATGCAGCTCATATTGTAATTTCCTTTCAATCCTCATCATGATAATTCGTAAGAGGACTTTGCTAGCAAAACTTATTCATGCGAATGTTATGTAGTTGAAGCATAGTTTAAGAATTTTTTTTTTGGGGGGGGGGGGGGGGGGGGGGGGGTATCGTACACCATGTCTAGTGCCTTCAGAACAGCAACCATTTCTGTGGCAAATATTGAAATGTTGCATGTCAAGATGAAATTATGTTTTATTTTCTATTCTAGGATGTAGAGTATGTTCGACTTTATTCCTCATTATCTTTTCTTTTTCGAACCGTCTTTATAAATAGTCAAACTATCTTTGGATCTGTGTGTATATACGAACCTTAGTCATCCCCTTGTGGAATGCAATTTTTCGTTATTTTAAAGCCCTTCTCTGACTTTTGCCAAGGGGCCCGCAATATAGCCCGGCCATATATATGGTCTAATGGCTGAACGCGGCTTCTGGGACCTCTCCACGAGTGATCCTCATCCACATGGTGGCACTTTGTGTCATCGGGTCTGTATAGCTTGTGTGATGTCCTGTTGGGGTAAAACTAGTAGTAGTAGTAGTACTACTACTACTACTACTACTACTACTACTACTACTACTACTACTACTACTACTACTACTACTACTACTACTACTACTACTACTGCTGCTGCTGCTACTGGATCTGTGCTATATGAGGCTCAGAGGAAAGGCAAGACGGACGTTTAATCAGAATGCTACTGGCACCATTAGTATCGAAACTCTTCGTTGGCTGCTGAAGATGGGGACGGAGCGCTTATGGGAATGCCCCGAGTGGTGTGATGTCGGTTCTTGAATCAAATCAAATTAAATCAAATCTTTAGATTTTATTAACGTTACTTCCATAGTCATTATAAGTTATTTTCACTTTTCCCGCAAACGTATGTCCTCTCCCCTCCCCTTCCCCCACAAGAAGTTCCTCTTCCGCCGAAAATCTATCTTTGCCTGATCTAAAGTTAATGCATCGTTTGCTATGTACCAAGTTATAGGGCACACAAGATCATTTGTTTGTATTTTCTAGGCTATCTGGCGGGTCGAGGGTACGTCGTACTCTATGTGCCCTGGGGTACGAAGTCCAAGCCGGAAGTTACTTGTACAGCAGACGTCGTCGTAACCATCGCACATTCACGTCAACTTTACAGACTAACGGAGGCAGCAAGGATGTTTCGTGGGGTGAACCAGTTAATGCGGATAGCAAATAACCGTCAGACTCAGCGGAAAACAGAGTGAGACCATGTTTTATTTATTTACATATTGAAGTTCATTGTCAGTTGTAATTTTCATTCAAAACAACAAGTCAAAGTGAGATTGGCATTGTTTTGTTTTCCGAAAGGAGCTAACTAACTTAACAAGATATGCGATTGTTATGTTCTGAACGACAGTGACCGATTTTTGTTTAGTGGAGATAGACTTTGACCACGATTATAGCTCTTTCCTCAAAGTCCGGAGGATGTATGTGGCCTTATTATTGGTGCCTTGTCAGTCTACAAATCCACCCACACTGTTCTTCACACACACACATATATATATATATATATATATATATATATGTGTGTGTATATATATATATATATATATATATATATATATATATATATATATATATATATATGTGTGTGTGTAAAAACACACACACATCCATTGTTTGTTTTAGTATCCAGAAGCCATGAGTTGTTAACCCTTAGGCTCGGTATTATGGATATTGCAACCTTTCAGCCTTGATTCCATTGTAAATACTGTAAATCTGGGAGAAATGTGGCTTTCCTGCCTACCCCCGGGATTGAACACGGACCACAAGGAGTTCGTCACCCGGTCTCCGTGCAGTCCAGTATAGCCAACTACGATAGAGAGCCGGGCATAGACACACACATAAATCTTATGTTTTCATTAGGTATTGAGGTTATGTAAAACATTTGAGTCTATCAGGCCCTGCTGATGATTTATTGGTTTGTATAGTGTTTAATGCATTTGTAATGTCTTCTAAATTATTTGTTTATCAAATGTTTGGTATTTTTGTGTTGTGTGCATTTTGGCTCCTATTAGTGCTACTTAGTATTTATGTTGTTGGAGTTCTAATTCCACTTTTAGTGTATGTGGGTGTGCTTCATCTTTATCTGTGTTTTTTTTATTGCTGTCTTTAGGTTCCCTTCTTGTCCTAATTCTTTTTGTGTTGTGTACGTTTGTGTTCTAGACTTTATGGAGCTTTTAAGAGTATCCCAGTAATATATTGTTGGTAGGTATGTTATTTGTGTATGATTTGTCATACTTTTAACACTATGTTTTGGGGTAGATTATTATTGAATTTCCAGTCTCATCCTTAACTTTGTATCTTGACTGTGCTTTTTTTTACATGTCTCTAAATTTAATAAATATTAAAACATCTTTTGATATATAACTTGTAAAAGTTCTTAATGCATAATGTACAGTTATGTAGAACGCTCAAAGTTTACGCAGTTACTTTTTTTCTACATTTAAGGCTATGGTTTCATGTCCAGAAGTCACAGTGGCGATATTTAGCAAGTGCTGCAGCAGCTCATGCAAAGGTAACTAGTTGTGATGTGCGAGGGCTTGCTGAGAGGCGTAGGTCCCCATTGAAATGTGTAATCAGGTAGAAACAAATACATCTTGATTTAGAATACAATGCCACCAGCCAAGTGTGGTAGAACAGTATGAACTTCAATGCTTCCAAACGCAGTTAACGCTGAAGACTAGGGGAAAAAGTAATTGGTGTATTTGTTGACAACTTGATCAGTGAGAAAATGTGCAAATAATAGGACTCTTGGTGAAAACTCACCCAAACACGCCCACACAAGCAACCGCTCGTACATCCTGACGGATGAATTCAAATGACATCTTCAAACGACAGGTAGGCAGTCCGACCTTGGAAGTCCAGACGGTGACATCGATCTCCTATTCTGCAGCCTGAACAGGGCAGTTTCCCTCTTTAATGATTCAGCTTTAAAGTTTACCGGCTTTCTGCCGAGCACAATAGACAATGTACCAGCTTTCCGCTGAAGTTTCCAGTGGAGTTCCGGGGTAGAGCATCCTCAAGGATCCACTGAGACACGACCACACCTCTGTCTCCTTCAGACTGTATACACCGAATGTTTTGAAGTCCTATTTGCTCACTCGGTACCGGTGCGTTTTAGTGCATATCCGCACGCAACACTAGTCTTTTAACAGACATATTTTTTTACACCCACTCACACACACACGCACGCATATAGCCACTTCTGTGACCTGTATAGAGATAAATTATAATTCTGTTGATTATTTTCTTTGACTGAGAGCCACTGTGGTGTAGCATCTAGACTTTCACCTGTGGATGGGAAGGTCGTCGGTTCAGGTCCTGACAGTACCTGACTTTCTTGACTTTTTTTTTTTTCAAAAACGACCTTGGTTTCCAGGTTGACCCAGCCTTGAATAGGTACCAGGTGGAGTAAAGGTGGCTGATGTAACGCTAGCCACATCACCCACTTTGTGCCGATTTATCTGTAAAATACAGGTCTAGCTGTGTATGCCCAATATGCCTGAAGGCGTGAAAAGAGTCCTTTACTGTTTATTTATTATTTTCTTTGATTTACATGACATGGTGCATCCATGATACTGATCACAAGGTTAAATATAAGTAACAATTTCTTAATATCTACAATATATGGGTAACCAAAACAGGGTTATATCAGACATAGTTATTGTGATGTTTGCAAAGCTATAGAGTGTGTATCAAAATTTATCATTCAGACCAGTCAACTCATCAAAGAACATTGGGGTAAATTTAAATAATGCGGACACAAACAATACATTGCATAATTTATTGCCAGGCATATTTCGCTGTATCTCGTCAGGTGCGTTACTACAGAGTTACATCAACATAAAATGAAGCACACACAAAAAAAGGGAATAGAGCCAACTAAAATGCGAATAGTTTCTTTTGACACATCATGGTGTGTTTTGGCCGCTGGAAGTTCACTGTAGTTACATAATTTACCAGGGGAACTTCAAATTTACTATGAATTCCATCTGCTTACAAAGGAGGGGGTTGAATGGAGTAAAATGTTGGGTCCCATTAAAAGAATGTTCTGAAACTGTCTACTTTATAGAGCTACTGAAAAATGGGGGGAAAAATACTCAGGAAAACAACACAGAGAAAAAGGAGCATGCAAAAGATGAAGTGGTGATTGGAAAGAGCCCATGGAAATGTAATGAACAGTGAATTTGTTGGAAGTAGGGGATGATTGCCATCAAGCCGACACAAAGAATAGCCATATAAACACACAGAACAAGCCCAGGGCAAGGAAAATGCAGAAACAAGTGAGCGTTGCACCCTAAAATTTTATCAGTGAAAAAATAAGTGGAATATGTAAATACAGAAATAAATATAACACTTAAATAATTATCATTAAAAAATATAAAACCAACTATAATTTTATTTTGGAAAAACTTAAATGTTTCAGTTGTCAAGTTGAGTAGGTTAACTTCTTTACACAAGGTTTCCTAACATATGGCTCATATGAAAGGCTTGATGCCTGCAGAGAGCATCATACAAAGCACAAACTCTATAGCTTCATTAATAGCCCTCAGGAATCTCTATAGAAATTACACTTGTGAAATTAACAACACAGTGCAGTATTCAAGAAGTGCTTCACACATGGGTATGTAAGAATATTGGAATTAGCTTGTGCAGAGCTAGAGACTAAGAACTATTGTAGTTTGGTTGCTGTCACATTTATCTTTCAATCTAGTGTTCGTATGTTCAGATCCCTTTTAAGGCAGAATTTTATGAACATATTGATCTGGGTACTGGGACAATATAGTCTAACATGGGTTGCATGAAATGTTCTGGAAAGTAAAGGTGGCAGCCTAATATTGACTACAGCTCATTCTTTGATGAGATATTTTGAGAATTAGAATCTGTGAGGTGACTTGAGCAGACAACTTAAATTCTAGTTTTTGGACTTGTCCGGTCTGATTATAATGCTGTTCCTACACCAATAAATATCATTGCAAAATAATTAGAATAAATATAGTTTCCTCCAGTAATTTATATTCAGTATTAAGCAGAAAATGATGCATCTGCCTGAGTATGGTTTTCCTCAGTATGATTTTTGTGTCACTGCACATATACATATGTTATTTCTACACAGTGTTAATTTTTAAAAATAGGAAGAGAAAAACTTACAAGATAAACAGAAAAGTGCTGACAAAGTTGACTCTAAATCTTTTGGACTCAATTTGTTTCGTGGACAGATCTCAGCGGATCAGGTTTTTCCATATCCTGAAGGTAGAATCTTTGTTGTGAGACATTAGACTTTTCAATTATTATTGATTGGTTATTTTGTTTATTTCTTATTTCATTAACTTTTTCTTGTTTAATGTCTTCTGGTTTTTCATTTCTTTTCTCTTCATTATTTTAATTTTCTAGCTTTGTTTCACCATTGAGCGGTTGTTCAGCAGGGATTTACTAGATCTGAAAAAAAAAGGTGAAATAAATAACTTGACTGCCAACAGACATTATTGGAACTCTTCGCTGGCTTCTGAAGAAGATGTCTGGACAACGAAAGGACATGTCTTGCAGGTGCTGCGTGAGCACTGAGTAGCACCTGCAAGACATGTCCTTTCGTTGTCCAGACTTCTTCGGTCAGTTTCCCTAATGGTTCTTTTCAAATTAGGGAACCTTTTACTTGCGAATCCCGCAACGTAATTTATGCAATTATCTGCAAACGATGCAGCAAGGCATACATTGGGGAGACTGGCAGGAAGCTAGCTGATCGTTTCCTGGAACACCTCTCCGACATCGACAAAAAGACACTCAAACCAGTCCCTCTTCATTTTAATAGCCCTGACCACAGCGGTAAAGATGACATATCTGTCACAGCATTAAAATCTTGCTCTGGCAATCATACTACCCGCCTCGCTTTGGAAAATCGCCTTATGTAATGTTGTGAATTCCCGGGGAAATCCCAGAGAGTTCCCGATGGGGAGGACAAGGTCGAAGGACCAGTGATAGAAGAGAAAAACGGGATAAGTGGGTCTCGTGTATCTCATGGGGAGCAAAGTGAGGGACACAAGAGAGGCATGAGATGTGAACGGAAGACGTGAACCAGGAGACAGAAGTAAGACAGTTGAAGTTCGGCCCTGACTGAGAGAGGTCACATGAGTGGACGCTTGAGAAGAATGAACGAATTGTGAAACGAGTGTTATATTTTGATAGGAGGACTGAATGTTTTTCCACACGTCTTAATGTCAGGTACCAGGGTTCGTGAAGGATAGATGGATGATTAGAGAGACGTTGACGGATTCATGTAGTGTGTAAGAAGTCCGACCAGGTCGCTAGATTCAGCCATGCAAGACGAGCACGAGGACGCGAGAATGCGTGTATGCGATAATTGGCGATTCAACGAATAAAAGCAAGCAACTCAAGATTCGTTCATGTTGTGTCGTTACAACTCCCTGTTCGCCTGAAAGCAATGTAAACAACACATGCCCCTAGCAGAGCATATTACACCTTATCCACAACCTTGGTGTTCTTAGTCCAAGTGGTATCAATATCCAACATACCTTCATCTAAATAGTTCTAATCTTATCACATTTTAAATGTTAATTATTTTATTTTATTTCATATTATTACTTTATTCTATTTCTTATCAGTATCATTTACGTATCATTAACACTTGCATTTCTTTTATTCCCAGTATTGTGACTATATTTTTGAGCCATCGTTTATTTTATTTTATTTCCTTTATTCCGCATCATTTTTTTAAACGTCGCTCACGTCACCCCTTAGAGATCTACATACTCTCCATTCCTCGTTTGTGTATTTCACTTATGTTTGAAAAAGGCTGCCCGGCCGAAACGTTACGTTGTGTTGTTTTCTGCAAGTTTTCCTCTTTCCCATTTTGTTGAGCTTTTTAGTCAAATTTCTCTGGAATTCATTGTATTAGCTTGACTGCAGTCACCCCCATAGTTTCACCATTTTTAAAACATACTTGTCTTGTTAAAAATCTGAACTATGCTCAACCAAGAGTGAAAGCTTGCACGTACACTAGACAACCACTAACCACATTATTGCTCTCGTGGGAATCGTTAGCCTGTGATTTTAGAAGACAATTTGTGATTTGCTGGAAAAACAACAATACAGTTTTATTAGTATTGTGTCAGCATTGTTGTTGAAATATACGTATTGATGCTGAGTCATTTGATTAGAGTTATATTTTAGTCAATTATTTTATTTGCTACTCCGGAGCTATCTATAAACTGAATCTACTTTTATTTACCAGCTCTACAAAATAGTTTGGATTTCAGGAAACAGTATTTTCTGTGTACCATAATTGCAGATGACAAGACAGAGGCATTATATTTTGGACTGATAAACATTGGTGAATGATCAGTCAGTGGTATTGTAAGTCGTAGTGCAGATCTCCACCATCTATTCAGTCTTTCCATCCGATCCCCCCCTACACCCCCCCCCCTTTTTTTTTTCCCACCACCCCACACTTTTCTCCTCACTGTCTATCTTAACCAATTTTGCATTATAGGCAGGTGGGTCTTTGAGCCTGCTAATTTTTGGCCGCATGGCTGGTGTGTCACCATGTACTGCCAGGATAACATTTAATTTTTCTTATCTCTCATTTTCTCACTGGGTCTAAACAAAACTATACTGACAGGTGGCTGCACTAACCACTGCATCATTATAGCTAATATAAACATACATTGACTGGTATTTGTAAAAAAATGTATCTTAATATTTTTTAAATTTCTCTTGGTTTTCTTTCCCATGTTGTTAATGCCAGTCAATATTTGTAAATATTGTAACTTGACTGCTGCTTACTTGTGCCTGACTGCTGTACTTGTCCTTACTTGTGCCTGACTGCTGTACTTGTCCGTACTTCTGCCTGACTGCTATACTCGTCCGTACTTGTGCCTGACTGCTGTACTCGTCCGTACTTGTGCCTGACTGCTGTACTCGTCCGTACTTGTGCCTGACTGCTGTACTCGTCCGTACTTGTGCCTGACTGCTGTACTGGTCCTTACTTGTGCCTGACTGCTGTACTCGTCCTTACTTGTGCCTGACTGCTGTACTGGTCCGTACTTGTGCCTGACTGCTGTACTCGTCCGTACTTGTGCCTGACTGCAGGTGACACCTGGCTGGTGTAGCCGTTACAGCGGCCATAATTATAAATTTTTGTTTGGAGGTTGAATGGGGTAGCTAGGATCTACCTTGTTGGTCTACCATTCAGACTGAGATTTTTAAATCTTAGAATAATACGGTAAACCTTTAGGCAGCCACACTGAAGGGCCACACTGATCAATCGATTTAATTGTTGTACTCAAGTCACATTATATTCATTATTTGCCAACAGTACGAAAACTGCAGCACTTAGCAGACATAGAATTAAAAGAGCGCTGAACTTATTGTGTAGTTTCTATGGTCCTAAAAACCAGCTGTCAGAACAGTTTACTTTGGGCGTATTTGAGTTAGTAGTGGCAGAGATGAAAAGACCAAAAGATGCTAGAATCTGGCTCAGATGAATAGACCACCAATATATTTTTATATGTTATACCAGTTATTACATTTTACAAGACAGCTTCACTTTCCACCTCTTGAGTAGTAGAAATGAGGAAACCATATATATGATCAGTGAAGAATCTTAATAATTAGGAAATAATTACAGTTTAACTTGTTTTACTAGTTGGATGTCTCAAGGGAAGGGCGAGACGGATATACAATCAGTCAGTTACTGGTGCCATCGGAACTGGAACTCTTCGTTTGCTGCTGAAGATGAGGACAGAGCACTTATGGGTGTCCCGAGTGCTATGATGTCGATTCTTAATTCAACATTCAACTAGTTGGATGTTACCCAGTTTGATTTATTTGTGTAATTGTAAAACTAAACTTTTCTTTATTTCAATAATCTATTATAGTTTTGTCCACTGAGCAAAAACAAGAGCTTCAAGAGTTAGTGGACCCATGTGCTAGATTTTTTGAGGTATGTACAATTATTTTATTTACTTTGTTGTGAATGTATCATTGAGTACTTCTAATAGTTCTCTTTGCTGTTTGCCTCAGTTTGCAACTAACATCATCATCATGTATTAAAATGTGCTCTATTTGATTCTAATGTATCTTATCAGACAATTCCCAGGTTTGTTAATGAATATCTTTTCTTTGCAGTCGTTTGGCTACTGCGAGGTTGATTCTCCATCCATTATCATTTGAAGTTTTATGTAGGCTTTCCATGCCTGCTACATTTTTATAAGTGTGCTCTCTACCTTTTTTTTTTGCATTAAAATTTCTCAACACAACAATCAGTATGCCCCATTTTTTAATTTTCTTTATGCCATCCTCAAGGAGCTCATACAAATATTATTTAATATCATCTTCTTTATCTTAAGTGGGTGCCTGCACATTATTCATCATTATATTTTTTCATTTTCCTTTCATTCATAACTTACTCATACTGCTATTAACGGCTTCAAAATTTATAATACTTTTCGCAGCTTTTCATCATGACAAAATCTGTACCTAGTTCATGTTTGCTTTGAGTGTTTCCTGTAATCTGATAACTCCCAGCAGAATATACCAGGAAAAGATTTGTGCATATTGTTAGATCCCTCATTCAAACTGGGTAAGCAGTGTTTTGATTTTCACAGATACATTTATTTGGGTCATGTTTGTTATCAACATTTGTTGACTGAGAAACAAAACATTCCTGTACCATCTACACTACCCAACCCATTATCAAGAACTCAGGGATGACTTCTTCTTTTGTTAATATCTGCTTATGCTGCTGGGCGTCACAGTTCATCAGACGATCTGCAGCTGAGCCAGGATGCGCTCTGTCTCTTGATATGCCGAGGTGTTATGCAGTCTCAAGGTGTCAGTGACTCCTTCAATCCATATCCTTCTCGGTCTTCACCTGCCTCTTGATGTTTCAATTTTCAGGTTGTATGCTCTTGCTGCTGGCATCGTTGGTTTCATTCTCGTTAGAAGGCCAAACCAATTCATTCTTTGTTTCTCAATAAATTTGACGATGGTTGTTGTTCCAACAGTTCTTGTGATACGTCGTTTCCCACTTGATCTTATTTGGTTTTATTCACAGCCATTCTGAAATATCTCAGAGGTGGTTAGTTTTTTTGCGTGTTCTTATGTCAACGTCCGTGTCTGACATTGGTAATCTAAAGTTTGTTTAATATTGTATTTATAATTTGTCTTTTTTTCTATTGGGATAGCAGAGTGTTTTAAAATTGGAACAGGTTGGGATCACAGATGGTCATTATTTTGTCAGCTGTGTTTTGATAGTAACTATCTTGTTTATAGTGGTTGATGGTCATAGTTTTTAATAGTCGTGTTTTTTCCTAAAGGAACAAAATGATGCAGCTAAAAATGATAGCTTGGAAAAAGTTGAAGATTCAACCATGCAAGGCCTTCGAGAAATGGGAGCATTTGGTCTGCAGGTGCCCCAGGAATATGGTATGTACATTTTGTGATGATTTGTCATAAATCCAGTTGACATTCAAGTATGAATATCAGGTCAGAATAATGCTGAATCCAGACATCTGTTACAGTATGGATGAAGATGAGGAAGCAAGCTGTTAATAGCTATTTGTGGTCAATTCTAATATATGGAAATGAATCGAGGCAGTTAGAAGATTTTGTTGACAAACTACTTAGAAGATGCAGAGATGTGGTTCTTTATAAACAATGTTACACCTTGGACGTGTACAATTATAAATGAACAAGTTTTTAAAGAAAGCACTTATTAGGACAACTGATTGATTATATCTTCTTTGTGATGTTATGTAGCCTCAAGGTGTCAGTGACTCTTTCAATCCATCTCCTTCTCGGTCTTCCCCTGCATCTTGGTGTTTCGATTTTCAGGTTGTACGCTCATGCTGCTAGCATCGTTGGTTTCATTCTCATTAGATGACCAAACCATTTCATTCTTTGTTTCTCAGTAAATTTGATGATTGGTGTTGTTCCAACAGTTCTTGTGATCACTCAATCTATTCTGGTTTTATTCACAGCCATTCTGAAACATCTCATCTCTCAGGTGGTTAGTTTTCTTTCGCTATCTTTTGTCAACGTCCAAGTCAGTATAAATATTGTATTTGTAATTTGTCTTTTTTGTTCTCTATCGGGATAGCTGAGTTTTAAAACTGGCACAAGTTGGTGACATTGTTGGCTTGTTGCATTCTCGTTTCTAGCTCTTTGTCTATTTTACCATTGTATGTGAAGATGCTTCTCAACTATTAAATTCTTGAAATCATTTCAGATTTTGATCTTTGATCTTTATGTCAATGGCTTGTTGCTCTCTACTTATTCTTATGACTTTTGTTTTTTCAGTATTGATCTTCATGTGATGTTTAAGGCAACTGTGGTGTAGTTGGTTTATGGTCCTGCAGCTGTTTGCTTTCACTGTGGAAAATGCAGTGATCGTTGGCAAAGAGCAGCTCATAGAAGTCCTCTTGTTTACCGACAACTGGTGGTGTTATGTCTATTTTATTAATATGAATATTATATAGGAATATTATATGGCCTATATAAATAATTAAATAATGCACATACTTTGAACATATCTCAAAAAGAGATGTCAATATTTCAAGAAATAGTAAGTCGTCCAACAGTATCCCATGTGTATATAAATGAATTGGTCAAAGATCTCCCTGCGTTGAGCAGAGACTTCTGCCAAAGGCAGTGAGCGAAGTTGAAATTGTGCAGGATATGACAGTTCTTTGGGTAAGCCCAGTACTAGAGCATCATCTAAAGACTGGAAATCTCTTTGGATGGTGGGCAGTGCCCATGTTCTGCGCCTGCTTTCCCTTAAGAGCCAACTGATATGCATGCACCTATTCCGAATAAGTCTGCTAGGGGGCAGTGGAGGTATAGGAAAGGATAAAGCAGTTAGGCTGTATAACTAACAGGGAGCAACTGTGGGGTGACCCGTTTGCTATGAAGCTGAAACTAGGATTACCAGATTACCAGAACTAATAGGGAAGACTGTCCCTTTCGGCAAAAGACTTGAAAAGAATGAAAGCTGCTGTTTTTTGTTTTGTTGTTGCAGACAGCCAGGTACTCTAAAACACAATACCACAGCAAATTCTAGAATGCTATGAACAGAAGATATTGTATAGTTCAGTGTTTTCCAAACTTATCTTTGTGGCAACATCTTATTTCAATGACAAATTTTCCACGACGCCCTAATCTCAGTAAAAGTATGACTATTCGTATGTAAGAGATACAAATATATATATATATATATATATATATATATATATATATATATATATATATATATATATATATATATATGTTAATAAAACATCATGGTGGAAAAAGGGTGTTATCTGTGACTTCAGCCATGGAAACTAAGGATTTATGTGTCTGTGCACCTGTGAAAGAACACTGGACTTAATCCATGGACTATACACAAGGAATTTAAAAAAAGCAAGCCCTTAAAACAAATCCAATAAATTATGTGTCCCATATTGTTCCAGGATATCTGGAACTTCACTGAAGAGGTAGTGTTTTGGCAGTCTGTTTCAGTCTTACTCTAATTTGCATGTGAAAGTCACATACACCCTTTCCCTGTCCTCAAAAATGCAATGAGATGATAACATTAAATATGGATGCATCCATGAATAACCTGTACACATGAAGTGCGATAAAAAATGTAGCTAAATATATGAAAAACTGCGTAGATGTGTGAGTACTTCTACTGCAGTAATGTTTGAACATATCACCATGGTATAATTAGTAATCACTTATACTGTCTAGATGTTTCTTTATCCTGTCAGGTGGCCTTGGACTTACAAACACCCAGTATGCCAGATTGGTAGAAATAGTAGGTGCCCATGATCTTGGAGTTGGTATCACATTAGGAGCTCATCAGTCTATTGGTTTTAAAGGAATTCTTTTATTTGGCAACAAGGAGCAGAAGGAAAAATATCTCCCAAACCTAGCTTCTGGAAAAAACATAGCGGCTTTTTGTTTGACAGAACCAGCTAGTGGATCAGATGCTAGTGTGAGTTTCTATATTGTGTTCACATGTTTTCTTTGACAAAACTGACTAATGAATCTGTTACTAGTATAATAACTTTAACAAGATTTAATGTAAATGATTACTTCATTCTAAAGAGTCATGGAATTGTATCAGTTATATATTTTCTGTCCTGCTTTAAACTACCTTGATACTTGATACTGTTGCCCAGCCGTAAATTCCACTATGAAAAAGAATGGAAAATAATGTTTCACTTTTAGATGAAACAGTTGAAAAAAAGTCACCTAAACCCATTCACTTTGTGAATGTAACTTTGTAACAAAAATGGATCATGATTATTGTATGCATTGCAGGGAGTCCCCCATTATGGCGTACAGTGTGACAGTTGTGTAACTGCTGCATATACGGCAAAGTATCTGAGGTCAGCTTTCCTACAAATACTTCAGTAACTTGAGACCCATCTAGTCCTAGTACTAAGAGTTAGAACTATGTCAGCTGGATTGGAACCTAGCACAAACTTGTTCCTGTACAATTGCAACCGTCATGTATATTATACATAACACTGATGAATAATGATTGATGATAACATCTTCTATCAGTCTGTCTCAATCAACAAAAGCTCACACTCGCCCACCAATAATTACTGTACAACCTGTGACAGTTCCCACCAGCATACAGGCGGGAAACACTGTCTTCTCTGCCAAAGACTGGGCCCAACTCAATACTGGCACAGGCCAAAACGTCAACTGTACCTGTTAACATTTAACTGTGTGTCAGCTAGTCTTAAAGCCTGAGCATTTAGGGCTGTCACCACTGACTGTGCAGGTTAGGATGTTATTTATCTAATGCATCAGTTCACTGACATTTTTAATATACGTAACAAACTCAAGATAAAAATGAATGGATTTTTAGTCACTAGGGGGGGGGGGGTTAAAAATGGTCTAATAAGTCAGTATTTTGAATAGGCATATCCTGACAGCATTTAACATAAAAACATCAAGAGCTTTAGTTTTTTTGTAGTGTACACCCTTTTAAAACTTCAGTAATACTGTTCAGCAAGTTAAATTTATGTGCTTAATTAGGCGTGTTCCAAACATTGTTAAAACCTAATCTGCCCCATTTAAATTCATCTACATAAGACAATACCTGTGGCAGAATTATTTTTACCACAATAGCATATATATTTAGTTTAATCATGTATACTTAATGTGGTCATTGGTACTAGTCTTTGTATAAACTCCACTATAGACCACACACAATACGAGGCTTATGAATATCAAAAGCCCCTCTAAGGTGCCTTTCTTCTGTTCTGCATCGAAACCCTATATTTCTGCCTCAAGACATGTATGTGTTAAATATTGATTTGACGACTAAATGTGCCAGCCAAAAGTCACCCGGCACCAGGAAAGACAAATGACCATTGAATATGGCCATGAAAAAGCATCTCTGCCTTTCCTTATTTTCCTCTGTTGCTACTCTAAAATATATTGTTTGCCAAATCACTGTGCATATCTTTGCCACCATGTTGCTTTTTGTGTATCACATTTATAGCTAAAGACTGCATTTCTGCATATATCCGGAAAAAGCTTCTTAGTTAATTCTGTTGCAGCTAAGTCAAGAGCTGGGGACTTCCTTTTCCAAAGACTCCAAACGAAATTTATGTGCCTTGCTGTCCTCTTTCTTGTGTGGTCTTTCATTCTAGTTTTGATGATATAGGCAGTGTTCCTACTTGGCAGGTTTTGTACTGGCCTGAGACGGTAAATGGAGATCACACATAAAGATGATATATTTGCTATCCATAAATTAGATTATTATTCTGATTTTTTAATGTTTTTTTTATGATTGCAGTCTATCAGAACAAGAGCTGTTCTATCAGATGATGGTAAACACTATGTCCTCAATGGCAGCAAAATCTGGATTAGCAATGGTGGGCTAGCAGAAATCTTCACAGTTTTTGCACAGGTATTTTATTTTTTTAAAAGTTGAATTGCAACATAAGGCACAAAATAATGACTAATCTGGAATTTATGATGTAACTGGGAATAGTTGCAGTCATATTTATCCCCCAGCCTAGGTTCAGGGCCCAGTTATTTTGGAAAAGAACATACCTACTGCCCTATAACAAGCATATTGTAAAGGTTGACTATGAGGGGTTTTTCCTTCAAAGTTGGAGTGTATCTGCCTGAGAGATGAAGAACTAGCAGTCTGTATATAAATCAGCAAAATCTGTAAATTGGATGTGCATGCACAACTCATGGTCCAGAACAAGATCAGAGACCAGAAGTAAACTGTCTGCCAGAGTTTAGAGCCAGTGATCACTTAAAAGAAGAAGAATATCAGTCCCTTTTTTGGGTGTGGCAGAAAGGGGGGGGGGAGGGAGAGAGAGAGAGAGAGAGAGAGAGAGAGAGAGAGAGAGAGAGAGAGAGAGAGAGAGAGAGAGAGACTATCAAATGGGTAAATTAGCTGAGAGAAATAGGTGTATATTTGTTGAGTATAACTGGTTGGATATGAAAAAAATGACAGTTTAGTGGTGTATACAGTGGGTCATCTGACAACATGGTGGGAATGGCATATTTGATGTGACAAGTGTACTGTAGCATGGCATCTAGGGATTGTGTAGGACTAACTAATGTCCAGAATAAACAATGGAACATGTCATAGCCTTTATCTTGTGAAAGCTGCTCTGCATTTTGATTTGTGCAAGAGGACCCTTTTCCATGCCTTGAGGCGCATAGGACATAAACGGCTAGACCTATTTTTTATAGACCAATCGGCACAAGGTGGGTGTTTCAGTCAGCATCACGCTGGCCACCTTTACTTCCTGGACTGACATTCTTTATAACACAGTTTAATTTGACTGAGTTAAGTTCTGTGGCTAAAATATTCTTCTTTGAAATAATCCTCTTATTGAAGCACTACCACTCAAGGGTCTCTGTGTGTGCAAAATAAAATTTCCATTCTTAGAACATGGCACTGACTTGAACAGTGCTTCTGCAACCATAATCTAATCAAAAGAGATAGTGACGTTTTGGTCTGTATATGTCACATCAATTGTTTGTTATATAAAGTTAATGTTTTTTTGCAGAAAAAACCCATTAATTCAGGTAGAGCGATATACAGCCATTTATGTACTCTTGCGAATTTCTCTTCTGCTGAAAAACCCTAGGTGTAAGGCCTGAACAATTCTCTTAGTTGCTACTCTTGACTTAATGCCTCCATTCTGGTCTATTACAGATCTTGATATCTTTCACCTTCATGAATAATCATGTCTTTTCCCTTATTGCTTGAGTGAGATCATTGACAACTGCACTTCTTAAGTTGAACAGTGACATACATATTTTAAAACAATGAGGTATGTAACGCAACTGTAATAAATTTAAAAAGAAAAACATAAAATAATGCATTTTGTTATTCCTAGATAGAGAAACATGTCACCTATATCAAACCTTATTTCAGCAAAGTAGAATGTTGACTTTGTTGAGCATCCATTCTATTTAATCAGGCCACTTTTTATGTTTAAATGTTTCAGTGTCAAGTGAAAGATCCAAAGACAGGAGAATCAAAAGACAAAGTAACTGCATTCATTGTGGAGAGGAGTTTTGGAGGTGTCACAAGGCAAAATGGATAAGCTTATCATTTTTATTGTTTTCTGGTTTAAGAAGTGGGGTAGAAAAGTATGAAACGACTGCTTGAGTAAACAGTGTTTATTTTCTTTAGTCATCTATTTTAAAACCACCCTAACCTTAGTTTTGTAGTTATGGTATAAGATCTGAACATCAATAAGTAGTTTGTATCTTAGAAACGAAAATATTTTGGTAATAGCAATAATGTCAGTGGTTAGAAAGAACAGTAGTGGAAAGCATAATACCAGGGGAAAAAGGTAAGTGTCAGCTAGTGCATAAATGGACATAGGAAATTAGAGACACTTGAGCATGGAAAATACATGAGCCATCAGAATGGGCAAAGTAACTACCGACTTTCGTGCAGGTTATGGAGGGAGTGACATTCTGCAGTGGATCTGATAATGGATGATGATGTATGTAACCTACATTACTGCAACTGTCCTCTATTTCAAAGTATTCTAGTAGCAGACTGTTTGTGCTGGCAGCTGACTTGCTATCAGCTTTGCAGAGACTGCAGTCTGTTTAACTTTTCTCACAAGGGACAGTGATGGAGTTTCTGTGTGGTTTTCACTGGCTGTGGAATGAAGCAAATATTGGGTGACCAGTTTGCTATGACCTTGGAATTTCTATGAACAGATAACTGATAACTGTTTCAGACTTTTAAATATTTTAAAAACATTCTGTTCATGTTATGGCAATGTTGTCTTCTTTGTTCTCCTAAAATTTTAATATTATTTTCCTTCTGCTATTTTTTTTTTTTAAATGCGACTTTCCACAGTATGGTTGTTAATAGACACAATATTAATTATGCATTACTATTGAAGATTTAATTCTTCAGGGCTACTTTGATTTTTTCTTGGAAGGAGTAGATGATGGAAACAATGTGGTACCATAAAATAATTTGATAGGAAGGTAGATTAATATCAGCAAGTGAAGAAATTCCCCTGCCTGGTATGTATAAGGCTTTTCTTTATCAGTATAAATGAAACATAAAAAAGTCATACAATGCATTATCATTGAATAATAAAACACAACAGCATGAGATATGTCAGCCGCCAATTACTGCCTTTATTATACCTCTTTTGCGGTGTAGGCAGGGGGGTCTTTGAGCCTGAGGATTTACGGCGGCATGGCTAGTGCTGTCGCCACGACTGTGCAGGTGAGGATTACACTTTTGCCCCTGACAGAAAAAAAATCCCCAGCCTTACCAAGGATGCGAATCCGGGTCTCCCGAATGAGAGTCCAGCGTTCTAACCATTTTGCCAGCCGTTCCTCATGAAATATGTCAATGATGAAAAAAGATGTTCAGAATTAAGTGGATGCTGTTTTTGTAAACTAGGATTAAAAACTAAATTTTAAGTGAATGGAAATTATGGTCATTTTCAAGAAGTAAGAATACAATATCTAAGTTGATTGGAACATCTGAAACAGACTTAATTGCTCTATCTTGAAACAGTAAAAATAATCTGACATAGGATACTTTATAGATATAAAAACCGGAAAAATTAATCTACGTTATTTCAAAATGGTAATCAAAGTCTGCAATAAAAAAAATTGTAAATTGCAGTGAAAAAATAGTTTAGAACAGTGTGTATAAAGTGAGTACTGTTGAATGCATGGGCAGTGTGGATATAAGAAGTGAAGCTGAGATGTGGTTTCTGACCATGGGTAGACAGAGAAATGAATGGGGTACTATTTCAAGGAACATTTGAAAATAGTAAAATGAATAGAGAAATTTGACATACTGTCAAGATTGTTTGGACATGTTATGAAGAGAAATAAACTTGGAATATTCAGTCCTGTCACCCTGAGAAGCCACACGACAACACTTCTGGTTGGGTCCAGTCACCCGTAAATGTCGCTTATAGTGTTAGTGCCATTGGCTATGTTTGCACCCGTGCAGCGTTTAAGAGGTCTAGGTTTGAATATATTTACTAACAGTAGCATTTAGAGGGTAGTTTTCTATGAACTAAAATGGTTTTTATAAAGCTAGTTTGATGTCACCATTTTCCAAATGCTTTAGTGATAGAGGTCAGGGTGTCATGGCCTGAGACATCCATACATCCTTTTTTTAGGCCCTGGGGAATGTATTCCTTAGAGATAAGTGACTTTAACTTAAGATAAATACAAACTGGTTGGTCATACATCATTATTGTTACAAGAATACACATCTGATGAGAAATTGGCAGTTGTGCAAAATGACAGACCATGGAAAAGCACAGCATGAATATCTGAATTGCTAGGAAAACACTGAATAAAAGAATAACAAATCAAGTATCAGAAATAATAGTGCACAATGTTATATGTGACACACACAGATATATATATATATAAATATATGTGATTCATATATTACCTGATATAAAAATATTACCTCTAAATTTATAAGTTAATGTGCAGACATTTACAAAATTAAAATAAATGACCATAAAGCTTCCTAATAGAAAAAAAATTATCTTTATTTATTTTTAATATCATTATGTGTGGGATAAGCCGCTGACAGCTCCAAACTTCAAGAGTGAACAGTTGAAAAGAAACAGTAACTCATATATAGTTATTCATGTGAAAATTCAACATTTAGCAGCATACTACACACAAGTCTGACTAGTAAATGGTAACCAGAACCAGTGATTGAGACCATATGTTTAAAAAATCCATTTAAATTGGGTACTTCAACAAAATATTAATTCATTTGGATTTAAAATTTGTTAGGATACACGCTGATTAAAGTTAATTCATAAATATTTGTAATATATAGTTTATAATATACATAATGTATATCACTTGTATGCAGAATATATTGAAAAGGTGCAAAATGAAGCCATGTGCATTATTTTGAGATGTACAGGAGACACTTCCTGTGTAGCAGTGAGGTATCTACTTGACTTTACAACTGTGAACCAAAGCATCAGGATCTGGAGGGCTCGGGCATAACCTTAAAATGTGCGCTGATAAGAAACACCCACTGCATCAAGTACTTTTCAGTGAAAAGGGTGACAGGCTGAAGAGGAAAAAATCATGGCTAGGTCAGGCAGAAGATGTTATCAAGCAAATATGCAGTCGAACCAATTCATTCCTGGTGCAGAGTGGATACCCGTGCCTCGTGTGTTTATTTGTAAATTTTCCTGTATTGCACACTCGACAGATGATGACGGGAGCAGAATCCTATTGCTGTCAATTCAGAGGTCAACACTGTCATCAGTGAAAATTCATACAAGGCAGATGTACTGATCTACACAGACCGATCCGTCATACGTCAACAAAGAAGCACTTGGGCTTTGACTTCACACTCAACCGACAGAACAGTCAAGGAAGCCAACGGCGCCTTTTCCGTGACAATCAGCAGCATGACAATGGTGGTGATGGCAGTAACGTTTGCATGGCTTAAAACACAAAAATACACCTGCGCATGTGTACTAAGTGATTCAATAAGTATGATCCGGAAGGCTCAGGCAGATTCGGTGTGAAGGCTGTGGCTTGAGTCATTACAGAAGTCCACTCTGTGGAGTCACCTATTTTCTTCCGTTCCAGGACACATGGCATCAATGGGAATAAAGAGCTGATAGTTTGGCTGGATCCACTATCCCTACTGACGGTCAGCCCATGGATAATGCTATTATAAATGCCCTCAGAGAAATGGGAATTGTGGAGGACTTTGGGGACAGTAAATTCACATCACTCACCAGAATGATAGACTTGGGAGTTAAAATCGGCATAGCTGAAAAACAAGACACACACCAGGCACATCAGAGGACTTGTTAATCAACATAGAACCAGTACTATTAGCCACCGAACGCTGGGGTCTTAGGGGAGGTTCTGAGCACCTATGAACATATCTGGAGCTCAGTGATGATAACCTAACTTACTAACAAATATAGACTGTGTTTAGCCTCTGACCATTAGGCCTATCTTCAGGGGCTAGAAGTCTTCTCAAACCTAGACACTTCTGCCGCCCTCTGATACCCTATATTTGTCCTATTCACACCGGTAACAATTTTTTATTATTTAAAAAAAGTACATTTTCATAAACTTACCTTTTACATTTATTAATGCCACAGTACAAATTATCCTATCACATGACATGCTATAAATAGTTTGTGACCTGTTGGTAACTATTTTAATTGTTAGATTTGTATTGGTTGTTCACTTTAATTTCTGGAATTTCAGTGGACCCCCAGAGAAGAAGATGGGCATCAAAGCCTCAAATACGGCAGAGGTGTATTTTGAAAATGTCAGAGTACCAGTAGAAAATGTGCTTGGAGGTAATGGGACACCAGAAAGTGAATCTGTTATACATTTTACTCTTGTCATTTCTTGTATGTTAACCCTGTGGCCCTGGGAATGCTTTAAAAAAAAAAAAACATGTCACTGTAGAAAGTTAGTTACGTGGCTTTTGTGGGGAATTGGACCTAGCTGGAAGTGTCAGTTTTGCTGCTTCTCGGGGTGACAAGGTTAAATTTCGTTCTGAGTGTTGTTATGACATGTAGTCATTATATTTTTATTAATTATACATTTATTAAATAGTCAGTATGTGTTTATCACCAAAATTATAGTCTGTGAACATTGTCATTACATGATGAATATTGATTCTGCACTGTTGTCTTGTTCTGGGGAGCTACAATGATCACCTGAAGTTGTGGAATAGGGTCCTTTACTTTTACTTATTGTCTTCTGCTATTACATGTACATTTATAATATAGTCTGTACAAACTGCATTATTACTAGTCTCTAAAACAATCCATAAAAAATATGGTATTGCATAATCTGCAAGATTTTTTTTTCCCAGAGAGCTGACTCTCTTAACAGATTTGACATTCTGTGATAACAGGAAGAGTAAACTAAAATATGACAACAGGAAAGTTAAAAGCAGAGTGAGACACATTGGGACCTAGAGAGAAAACTTTAGACAAATGTACCTCATTATGTGAAGAAACATCTGTAGTGACACTGATTAGCAACACAGAAAACAGGAGACTGTTGGCAAACTTTGCTGCATTGGCTGTAATAAGGATTATGGAGATGGCACCTGATTGATTGTAATACTTACTGAAAAACAGACACTACTGGGAAGGTCGGGTTTCTTTTGTATGCCAAGGTAAATTGTAGCATTGTGTAATGTGGTGTTAGGAGTTGAGTCAAGAATTGACATCACAGCACTCGGGGCATTTCCATGCATGCTCTGTCCTCATCTTCAGCAGCCAGCGCAGAGTTCGAATAGTGATGGTACCGGTCACAATCTGGTTATATGTCCATCTTGCCTTTCCTCTGAGTGTAGTGAGCCGGCCAGACCCTCTGGTTACACACAGGTGCCTCATCTATCTATCTATCTTTCCTGTCCGCTATATTTGTGGTGACATTTCTGGTCTTCATCTCATCTGGTTTTTGATTGTGCTTTCAGTGTTTTTCGCTTGATATTTGTTGTGGTTTGTCTGCTTTCGTAACTGGCTGGCCCTCTGCTGCGCTCCGGATCATTGGCTGGTGAGTCGATTTTGTGTGGATTTCATTGGCCGTTTGCTGTTTTCGAGGAGAGGGGACTGCCTATCCTAAGAAGGACTGGCGTTTGCTTGCTTTGGGCAGGTAATGAAGGAAATAATGGTGGGGTCTGGTGTTATTTCGGTGGTCTTCTTCCTCGTTTAACTTCAGGTTTTGGCGGTCGGATCGGTTCTTCTGGTGAGGACCATCGTACATCATCCTCTGGCAGTTGTGGGTTAAAGTAGTTCAGATCCTCCAGCTCCCTAATGTGTTGATTCAATTGTAGAGTGGTTTCGTCCGTAATCTGCCACATCAGCGGCGTTGGTATTTTCTTATCTGGTAATTGACCTGGCTGTTTCTGGGTCTCGGCTCCCTGAGGTTTGGATGACTGTATTTGCTGCCTTTTTGCTGTTTCCTTTCGTGCTTTCTCTCTTTCCTCCATAACTCTGTTGGTTGCTTGTAGTTCCTTGCTTAGTCTGTTGTTTTCTTCGTATGCTCTTCCTCTGTTTCAGCAAGGGCTTTCTTAATCATTGTGACTTCTTTCGCGAGAAGCTGTTGTGTCTCTTGCAAATCAGTGAGACTTGTCTCATCTTTCTTCGCTTTTGTTTGCTGTTCCTTCTGTGTCTGGATAACAGTGAGTGCAGCCATGCTGTCCTACTTGAATTTCATCATGTCTGTTTCCATCCGCTTCTGGGTTTCAAGAGTCACCTGCATGATAGCTCTCAGGCCTGTTACTTCATCTCTTTCTTCATCTCGTTGGGATTTGGATGCTTCTTTCTCGTCTCTGAGAGCTTGGATGTCACTTTTGAGTCGAGCTATCCCGTTGTTCAGTTTGGTGGTGATAGCTGTCGTTATGCCTTTGGTTGCCTCGTGTCTTCTGTGGGCCTCATGATATGGAATCTTCTCCCGTATGGCCATGGTTGCTATGTCTTGGCACTGTTGCAGATAGGGGCAGCCCAGGTATCTGGCGCTGTGCTGGCCGTAGCAGTTTGCGCACTTTCTGCTCGGATTTGGAGATCTAAAATCTGTGTCTAGCTTTGCCAGAGGGCAGTTGTTGAAGGCATGTGGTTCTGAACAGTATCTGCATACTTCTTGTTTGCTCATACAAGTGGCTCTGGAGTGCCAGACTTTTTGGCAGCGAGAGCACTGGATCACCTGTGGTACGAACTGTTCTGGTCTTTGCATCCTTTGATTTATGTAGACTTTGTCCTGGATTTCTTCTCCTTCTGATGTTTTCACTCTACTGGTAGTGGATGTAGTTTTGTGCCCAGTCTCTCTGCTTTGTTGATTTTGATGTTAGGGTTATCTTTCCTTAGTTTTTCTAGTATTTCTTCCTTGTTCCAGTGCAGGCTGACTCTCCGAACCACCCATTGTCTTACATTCTGGAAGATTGAAGCCGTCACAGTCATCTCCTCAGATAGTCGGAGTTCTTTCCTGCCGTTCTGTTGCATGTCATCCAGCATGTCTGAGGTGTACAGTTGGTTCTATTTAGTGTAGCTATCACTCCCTCTCGAGTTCTTCTAATCTTTGTGACCGCACCTTTGCCTAACATGATCTCCAGCATATTGATCAACGTTAATGTTGCTAGTGTGGTGACTGCTGACCGGCCCAAGCTGGTCTGTCGGAGAAATATAGTGGCAGGAAATTCATGGCTGCCAGTCTTTCGTCTATCTGGTGATGTGTCTGATGTTAGCCGTGCTGATTCGGGTGACGCTGGAACGTCACTCAGGGCCTCACTAGTAGTTGGGGCATCTTCTTTGATCCGGCAGTAGCTGTCTCCGTCTGCTTGGATGCCGAGTTGGATCGAGTGGATCGGTCAGTGGGCTGTTTCCTCTGTCCGTTGCGCTTTCTGTTGGGTTTATTTCTTCTAGACATGGTGATTGCGGAGAAGGTCTCTCACTCTGATGTATGCTTCAATTGTGACGCTGCCTATCCTCGTAGTTGATTTATTAAAAGGCTCCACCTTTGAATAGACACCACCCCAGGAATCACGGATGACGCCGCAAGGATAGCTACAAACTCCAGCTCGCCTGTTGTTTCTACCACAGCCAGTGTAACCAACTAAGCAACAAGTAAAGAAAACTGATATCCTAGAGTATCCAGGGGTGGAAAAAATTGCCGTCATGTGTTTGAACTGGTAAAAGGTTTAATTTAACCAATGAAAACCAAATGAATACGCACATTTTTGCTTTGAAATAATCATGGTTGCTAGCACTGCCATACCGGAAGTTGTGCGTGCCTCATTCTCTCCAGGTCATAATAATAGTAGTGTTAGGAATTTAAAAGCAAGAGTCATTCAGTCAGTTTGTGTGACTAAAAGAGCTAAATAGTATTATTTGATGGTTTTTTTTTTTACATGAGCAGTTTTTCTTTACCTTATGCTTGGATTTTCAGGTGTAGGGGATGGTTTCAAAGTGGCAATGAACATTCTGAACAATGGAAGATTTGGAATGGCAGCAGCTCTAGCTGGAACCATGAGATCTTGCATCAGCAAAGCAGTATGTATATATCTCAAAGTTTTGACCGGTAGCATGTGCTAAGTTCTTATAACAAATTTATGCAAGCATGCCTGTGAATGAGTAAGTTGTTAACTACTTGACAAAATTAACTTGTTTCCACTTTTCCATAGTCATCATCATCTTGTAATGCCATTTATACCTAACACAGTACTTGTATTTTACTTCAGTGCCATTCTGTTCTGCGCAATCTTTTGAATTAACTGGATAAAACCTAGTCCGGCACCTTTGGCCTGGTTCAGCCTTCATCTTAAGGTTCTTCCTGGTCGTCCTTGCTTCCTCTGTCTATTTGTTTCCTTTTTGAGTGCCTGTTTGGTGATTTTCAGCATCTCTTCAAGGTGTGCCCAACATAATGCCATCTTCTGAATGAAAAAATAAATTAATCATCACTGCCCTTGGAACATTTCCACTTGTGCTCTGTAGCCTTCCTTAATAGCCAGCCAAGAGTTTCCATGCTAATAGTGACAGTTGCAACCTGATGAAAAGTCTGCTGTGTTTCCCCCTCAATGTTGAATATCTTCCAGAACCTGTACTCATTTCCCCCCCCCCCCCCCCCCCCACCCCCCCCCCCCCCAATTAGTTTTTTGAGGTGTGGATACTCTGTTCTGTGAGCCTGCTAAAGGTACAGAATATAAGGCTTTACAATTCACAAGCCATCGGAAAGCTGCTGTTTTTGCAGACTCCATTCTCATACTGAATGTTGTGACATTATACAAAAGGTTCTCTGTTGTCAGACCATGCTCATCCACCTTTGAAACAAAATCCCACCCTCTCTGTTCACCCTTCACTACGGATCCATCTGGGTATATAATTATGTCACATGAGAGTGAATTTTCATTGATCAGCTTACATAAGCCTCTTTCGCCACCAATCCATTTCCAACCCAACACCCCAGGCTAAGGTAAGTATCACTGTATGCAATGCTGTTTTGCTGGGCAGTACTGTGACCTATTCCTCACAGCGTGCTATCTTGTCAATTTCACAAACATTTCTGATAGGGAACTCAACCTTTACTATTCAAGAGCTACCCTATTTAACTCTTAAGTCCTAGTGGGTTTAGCATCACAGGCCCAAGGGATTGTAAAGAGAGACAAAAAGTCTGTATAGATAATCAGATTACCTGGGCATGAATTGTCATGAATGAACTGTTGGACTTCCACCTCTGTAGCACCCGCTGGCCACTCTCTGCACACCCGGCCCAATGCGATCATAACCGTACACTGGTTAGACTTCCGCTGGTACTCTGACCCACTCCTGTTCTTCAGCATGCATACTTGTCTTATTGTGTCTTCTGCTTGAGCTATCCACGATTTTCCCCTTTTCAGCCTCTGATTCTTACCTGCAGCTAAAGCTTTATAGAAAGGGTGTTCCCTGTCTGCATCTACTCTGAGGTATGACTTGGCCTGCAGCACCTTTAGCCTATCTGCAATAATCGGCAATGCAAGCATGTTTTGCATTCACACAGTCTGGGTGTCTTGTGTACATCCCAGGATCAGCCGAATAGCTTCATTCTGTATGCCCTCCAGTTTCTCTAGCGTCGAGACAGCGAATAACCCTAATCCATAATCAGTCACTGAGATGATTAGGGGCTGGTAAAGTGTGAACAGCATTGTCTACTCCATGTCAATTGCTGCCATAATCTGTAGTGTATTTAAACCTTTCTGAGCCCTTGTCACAACCCTCTCTATGTGATCCTTAAAAGATAGACTTCTATCAAAGGGGATTTCCAGGTACCGCAGTCTGCTGTCTCTTTAGATGTCCCTACCATTTATTTTGAGTCTGGGAACATCAGTTCTAACAATCTTGTTGCCCAAAGAACACCACAGGACGGTTGCCTTTTCTGGGTCACTATATTAATTAAAATAAATAACACAAGTGAAACAAACAAGCAAATTTAAATAACCAGGGTCCTTTTTCACCTCAGATGAAGAATGGATAGAGAAATCAACATACGCTGTGCAAAAGCAAATCATGTTATAGGACATTTAACACCACTGCTGACACATAGAAAGAAACCTATGTCAGCGAGAGCAAATTGGTTTTTTGGCCAACATTGTGCTATCAGTGCCAAACGTGGACCCTCACTACAACTAACGAATGGAAGATTGTAACAGCAGAGATTAAATTTCGTAGCTGCCGGTGTGACTAGAAGTAATAAAATCAAGAATTAAAAGAGGCCGAGGACTGAAATCAGTCATGCAGTTCATTAAAGAAAAAAAAATGAGATGGTTTGGCCACCTGATGAGAATGCCCTGGTACCAGCTGCCACAGAGAGCCACACTGAAGAAAATTAATGAACACATAGCAACGGGAAGACCACGCAAGAGATAGAGCAACATCATCAAGAGCAACCTAACAGAAATAAACACCAACTTGTAAAATGCATTGGAAAAAGTGCACAAATGATATAAAACCTTGCTGAGGTAAATGGTGGCAGAGAAGGAGAAGAATGCTTAGAAGAAGAACAACTTTATTGATAGAAAAAGAAAATAATCTTTGCGATTTTAAATCCTGCAAATAACAAGACACTTGATGATGGTAATAAAGAAATGGCACATGTGTAGATGTAGGAACAAATAAAGTATATAGTATATAAATTAGTGGCTTTTGTGAATCATTTATTGTTACTTGTACATAAAGGTGTATTTTATGTAACATGATCAAATGATGTGTGCATATATGCATATTATACTGTTTTAGGCAGAGCATGCTGCAAATAGAACACAGTTTGGGAGAAAAATTGAGACATACGGAGCCATTCAGGAGAAGATTGCTAGGATGACAATACTGCATTATGTTACAGAGGTATCACTATGTTATCTTCATTGCTGTTGTTTTTCCTTGCAGTCTCCTGTGTTCAGTAAATTGCACCTAGTGCACACAAAGTTTTCTTTTTCTGATCAAGATGACTTCTTTCTATAGCTGTAGTAGCAGTATTGTGTTAACATTAAAGATGTTATTTTATGTTATGGTGAATGCTTTGCCTATGTAAAGTAAAGTTTAAGTATATTTAGATTTATTTCTATAATAAAGATGACACTTTTTAATATACTAATAATAAGTTTTTTGTTCATAACAAGTAGATTCCTATTTATGTGTTATTGTTCCTTCTCTTCTATGTTGGCCATTAAAAGGGTATTGGCACTTGTGGTTTACAGCTAGGCTGCAATTCCTTTCGGCCCAACACATCAGATTTAAGCCAATCCTTAGTTAGTCACCTTTTATTATATGGTCTGTTGTCCGCCCCCCCCCCCCCCTGGGATTTTTCTATGTTTGATTTTAGTGTCTTGTGTTGAAATTTAACAAATAATATAGTCAATACAGTCTTACATAAGAATGTCACAAATAATATAGTCAATACAGTCTTACATAAGAATGTCACAAATAATATAGTCAATACAGTCTTACATAGGAATGTCACAAATAATATAGTCAGTACAGTCTTACATAAGAATGTCACTAATAATATAGTCAATACAGTCTTACATAAGAATGTCACAAATAATATAGTCAATACAGTCTTACATAAGAATGTCACAAATAATATAGTCAATACAGTCTTACATAAGAATGTCACAAATAATATAGTCAGTACAGTCTTACATAGGAATGTCACAAATAATATAGTCAATACAGTCTTACATAAGAATGTCACTAATAATATAGTCAATACAGTCTTACATAAGAATGTCACAAATAATATAGTCAATACAGTCTTACATAAGAATGTCACTAATAATATAGTCAATACAGTCTTACATAAGAATGTCACAAATAATATAGTCAATACAGTCTTACATAAGAATGTCACTAATAATATAGTCAATACAGTCTTACATAAGAATGTCACAAATAATATAGTCAATACAGTCTTACATAAGAATGTCACAAATAATATAGTCAATACAGTCTTACATAAGAATGTCACAAATAATATAGTCAATACAGTCTTACATAGGAATGTCACAAATAATATAGTCAATACAGTCTTACATAAGAATGTCACAAATAATATAGTCAATACAGTCTTACATAAGAATGTCACAAATAATATAGTCAATACAGTCTTACATAGGAATGTCACAAATAATATAATCAATACAGTCTTACAAAAGAATGTCACTAATAATATAGTCAATACAGTCTTACATAAGAATGTCACAAATAATATAGTCAATACAGTCTTACATAAGAATGTCACAAATAATATAGTCAATACAGTCTTACATAAGAATGTCACAAATAATATAGTCAATACAGTCTTACATAAGAAAGTCACACAAAATATAGTCAATACAGTCTTACATAAGAATGTCACAAATAATATAGTCAATACAGTCTTACATAAGAATGTCACAAATAATATAGTCAATACAGTCTTACATAAGAATGTCACAAATAATATAGTCAATACAGTCTTACATAAGAATGTCACAAATAATATAGTCAATACAGTCTTACATAAGAAAGTCACACAAAATATAGTCAATACAGTCTTACATAAGAATGTCACAAATAATATAGTCAATACAGTCTATACTATAGTTACATAAGAATGTCACACAAAATATAGTCAATACAGTCTTACATAAGAATGTCACAAATAATATAGTCAATACAGTCTTACATAAGAATGTCACAAATAATATAGTCAATACAGTCTTACATAGGAATGTCACAAATAATATGGTCAATGCAGTCTTACATAAGAATGTCACAAATAAATATAGTCAATACAGTCTTACATAAGAATGTCACAAATAATATAGTCAATACAGTCTTACATAAGAATGTCACAATAAATATATAGTCAATACAGTCTTACATAAGAATGTCACAAATAATATAGTCAATACAGTCTTACATACGAATGTCACAAATAATATGGTCAATACAGTCTTACATAGGAATGTCACAAATAATATGGTCAATACAGTCTTACATAAGAATGTCACAAATAATATGGTCAATCCAGTCTTACATACGAATGTCACAAATAATATGGTCAATACAGTCTTACATAAGAATGTCACAAATAATATGGTCAATACAGTCTTACATAAGAATGTCACAAATAATATGGTCAATACAGTCTTACATAAGAATGTCACAAATAATATGGTCAATCCAGTCTTACATACGAATGTCACAAATAATATGGTCAATACAGAATGTTACATAAGAATGTCACAAATAATATGGTCAATACAGTCTTACATAAGAATGTCACAAATAATATGGTCAATACAGTCTTACATAAGAATGTCACAAATAATATAGTCAATACAGTCTTACATAAGAATGTCACAAATAATATAGTCAATACAGTCTTACATAAGAATGTCACAAATAATATAGGTCAATACAGTCTTACATAAGAATGTCACAAATAATATATGGTCAATACAGTCTTACATACGAATGTCACAAATAATATAGTCAATACAGTCTTACATAAGAATGTCACAAATAATATAGTCAATACAGTCTTACATAAGAATGTCACAAATAATATAGTCAATACAGTCTTTAGAATTAATAGGAATGGATCAATCCAGTCATAAGAATATCACAAATAATATAGTCAATACAGTCTTACATAGGAATGTCACAAATAATATGGTCAATACAGTCTTACATAAGAATGTCACAAATAATATGGTCAATCAGTCTTACATAAGAATGTCACAAATAATATGGTCAATCAGTCTTACATACGAATGTCACAAATACTTTGGACAGCCAGTGTTTCTTTGTCAGTGAGGCCCAAGGGCAACAATCTAAGGCTGAAATGTTTCCAAAGTGTTTTATAATTCCAAGGTACCAGGTCCGATTTTAGTTGCAGCTGATTGTGGTAAAAGATCGCCTTATGTTGATTTCAACTGAGGTGTCAAGAGCCGACTATTAAAAAAGCAATGGCAAACTACTGTAACATAAAATTGTATAGTGAAACTAGGGCAACCAGCAGATGCCAGGGCTAGTTCTGTAATGTCCTGCAAAGATTATTTTAGAAGGGCAGTAAGAACATTGTATCTAAAAAGAAAGCACAAGTGACATTTTTTGGTCATATGAGAAGAGGAAGACTAAAATATAGTAACAGCTGGTAAGATTGATGGATAGAAATAACCGAGGGAGCCAATGACAGAAGATTTTATGATATTCTCACATCTTGACATGGGCAGACATAAGCTTATGAATTGTTCTGTTCTGGGAGAGATTAGAGCAGAAGAGAAGCATGATCAAACAACCTATTATTTGCTTAGCATTGCTTTTTGTGAATGATAGAGATTTCAATGACTTGTGTATGGAAATGTATCATTGGTCTTTTATGATATAATTACATTTTTTTAGTGTAATGGTAATTGCTGGGATTATTTGAACATAAGTAATATTAGCTGCTTGTTTGTTTGTTTTCCACAGTCAGTTGCATACATGTTGTCTTCAAACATGGACCAGGGCTCCACAGAGTTTCAAATTGAGGCTGCCATTAGTAAAATATCTTTGGTTCAGTAAGTCTTGCTTTACATTAAAAAAATTACATACTTTCTGACTCCAGTGGGATGGGATACGTTGTTCCCATTATGTGCTTTTCTAACTTTATTCTAACCTTTTCTTGACTGTTGTCCTACAATTGCTGATGCCATTGTAGAAGTTTTGTTGTTAAAGTATTACAATATGATTAAATCATAATTTAAAAGCAGTTAAGGTGTTAATTTTTTTTACAGAAGTACCAACTGTACAGAGAAAGCATTTTTTTTTTTTAAACCTTCTAAGTGGGTACTTTGCTTGTGTCCACATGCTTAGGCACCAAATGGTGAAATAATTTTATAGAAGGGAAAATTTGTTGTCATTTATTTCTTTGTTTTAAAGACGGAAGTGTCAGTTTAATGAATAAAAGTTCTCCTCACAGTTGTTATTTCATCAGTTGTCTACAGTGAAATTCATACTAGAAACAACATTGCAGATATAGATAATATAAGTGAACAAAAGAAGAAGAAGATGTGAGAGCAGTGTGAACAGTTCTAGACCTTTTCCCTTATCATTTGGTCTGGAAAATCGCATCAAAATATATCCCATTGAATTAATTAAAAACAGATTGAAAATTAAACCCATTACCTTACCATGCATGGAAAATTATTATATTTCCTTTTGCTAATTCTAGTTTTTCAAAACATGTTCTTACAAATTCATTTTTCCAGCAAACGAAACAATATTAGAGTGTCTCTATGAAGAGCCATTGAAGTGATATTCCACCCTTAAAGAGTTAAATTCTGTGCCATGTGGTGTTTGTGGGTTATCACAACCTTGTGTCATTTGTTCTGATGACCACTTTGGATGAAATTCTATGTCATGTGGTGTTTTGTTGGTTATTACAACCTTGTGTCATTTGCTCTGATGACCACTTTGGATGAAATTCTATGTCATGTGGTGTTTGTTGGTTATCACAGCATTGTGTCATTTGTTCTGATGACCACTTTGGATGAAATTCTATGTCATGTGGTGTTTGTTAGTTATCACAGCATTGTGTCATTTGTTCTGATGACCACTTTGGATGAAATTCTATGTCATGTGGTGTTTGTTGGTTTTCACAGCATTGTCATTTGTTCTGATGACCACTTTGGATGAAATTCTATGTCATGTGGTGTTTGTTGGTTATCACAACCTTGTGTCATTTGTTCTGATGACCACTTTGGATGAAATTCTATGTCATGTGGTGTTTGTTGGTTATCACAGCATTGTGTCATTTGTTCTGATGACCACTTTGGATGAAATTATATGTCATGTGGTGTTTGTTGGTTATCACAACCTTGTGTCATTTGTTCTGTCATTTGTTTCTATGATGACACACTTTGTGTCATTTGTTCTGATGAAATGAAATTCTATGTCATGTGGTGTTTGTTGGTTTTCACAGCATTGTCATTTGTTCTGAGCCACTTTGGATGAAATTCTATGTCATGTGTTGTTTGTTGGTTATCACAACCTTGATCATTTGTTCTGATGACCACTTTGGATGAAATTCTATGTCATGTGGTGTTTGTTGGTTATCACAGCATTGTGTCATTTGTTCTGATGACCACTTTGGATGAAATTCTATGTCATGTGGTGTTTGTTGGTTATCACAGCATTGTGTCATTTGTTCTGATGACCACTTTGGATGAAATTCTATGTCATGTGGTGTTTGTTGGTTATCACAACTTTGCATGTGTTCATTTTGGTTTCTATGTCATGTGGTGTTTGTTTGGTTTTCACAGCACTTTGGATGATGAACTTCTATGTCATGTGGTGTTTGTTGGTTATCACAACCTTGTGTCATTTGTTCTGATGACCACTTTGGATGAAATTCTATGTCATGTGGTGTTTGTTGGTTATCACAGCATTGTGTAATTTGTTCTGATGACCACTTTGGATGAAATTCTATGTCATGTGGTGTTTGTTGGTTATCACAACCTTGTGTCATTTGTTCTGATGACCACTTTGGATGAAATTCTATGTCATGTGGTGTTTGTTGGTTATCGCAACCTTGTGTCATTTGTTCTGATGACCACTTTGGATGAAATTCTATGTCATGTGGTGTTTGTTGGTTATCACAGCATTGTGTCATTTGTTCTGATGACCACTTTGGATGCAGATGTTCCTTCATGTCAGAATGCCAAACTGTCTACATTATCCATCATAGTTTCCTCTTGCCTTTCCTGCTGTCACAACATACTCTAGCTTTCCCTTTCTGGTGGTATGTCTAGATAATAAGGATTGTTTCCTTCTGATGTGGGGGATCAATTGTTTGTGTGAGTTAATTTCTTTCAAGACATCTTCATTATGTTTGGAGCAGTGCATTCTTATAATCTGATACAAGCTTTCCTTGGGATAGTAAAATTTCAAACTTGTCACTATTCTGGTCACTAAGATTGCAACAGCTAGGTATGCATCACAGGCTAGAAACTTCACTTAGTATATGTCACAGGACTGCCATTACTTTCTGTTACTGGAGAGTTGTATGTCTCTTTGTTGCTTGTTTGTAATTCCATCATTTTTATCTCAGATTATTTATATTTTTCCTAATACTGGCTGAAAGAACGACTATTGTGTTTACAGATGCTATTTTACAGCAGTGTGATACACAATTTATAATACAGTCTAAAATTTGTTTGATGTTTTTCTTCCCTACAAATGGTTTTATTCACATGTTTCAGGAGGCTGCCTGGTATTGTGCAGATGAAACTATCCAGGTGCTTGGTGGCATGGGTTACATGAAGGTAAGGGTTTGCATTTACCTTGAAAAAATGTAGTTTATAATTTTTTTTTCCACTCATTTATTCTGAAAAGTATATTGGTTATGCTGTCTGTGGGCCGCCAACAGATTGAATGGTTTGGACATAGGTCAAGACTACCACCAGATAGTGCACCACAGGGAGGAGGAGGAGGAGTGAACTAGATTGTTTTCCAGCATCTATTGAATTAAGTGATATGATTTTATTTTTCAAACATTTAGTTAATTAATTTTTTTTTTTTTTTTTTAAAGGACTGTGGTGTAGAGAGAGTAATGAGGGACCTGAGAATTTTCCGCATCTTTGAAGGGACCAATGATATACTTCGCTTGTTCATTGCTCTTACTGGAATTCAGGTATAATATATTGTGCTGATGTGCTTCTCTGTCAGAAATTCTTCTTCTTCTTCTTCTTCTTTATCTTCTTCTTCTTCTTTATCTTCTTCTTCTTCTTCTTCTTCTTCTTCTTCTTCTTCTTCTTCTTCTCCTTTTTCTTTTTCTTCTTCTTCTTCTTCTTCTTCTTCTTCTTCTTCTTCTTCTTCTTCTTCTTCTTCTTCTTCTTCTTCTTCTTCTTCTTCTTCTTCTTCTTCTTCTTCTTCTTCTTCTTCTTCTTCTTCTTCTGTGTGTCATTGGTAGCAATCAACTCTGATACAGAGGATCGCCCATGCCCTGATGTCAGACTTCCCAGCGTCTTTTCTCTCGGTCTCAATTTGCTCCTCCACCTTTTCTTCCGTCACAATGTACTCAAGTTATCTCTTTCTCATTACATTACTAAAGAATGTAGATTGTCTCTTTCTGATGTGGGCAATCAGTTCTCTTTGTGAGTCAGTTTCTTTCAAAATATCTTCATTACTCTTTTTATATGTTAAAGGTATTCTCATCATTCATCTATAAAACCTCATCTCTATGGCTTCCAAATAGGTTTTCACTTATTTTCCAGCTGTCCATCATTCACTTCCTTATATCAGGATAGGATTTTTATAGCTTTTAAGAATTCTCTTTCTCATCTCAATTGACAATGAAAGATTGCATAAAATATTCTTAATTAGTAAAATGCTGCTTTTGCTTGAACTTTCCTAAATTTAATTTCTCGAATACATCTTTCATCTGATGTTATCAGGTTACCTATGTACTTAAACACATCAGCTTGCTTGGGGTGTGTCCCATTTACTGTGATGTTGCATTGTGGAGGATGTTTTTTTAATAATTACCATTACTTCTGTTCATCTATCAGAAATGAAGACTGGAATATTAATTCTCAGGACTTTCATTCTTATTACTGTGATGTCAAGGAAAAGAGAAGGTGAGGATTAAGAAGAAGGATAAGGAAAGTAGAAACATAGTAGAGGAGGTGAAGGAAAAAGAGGAAGAAGAGGAGTAGAGTAGGAAGAAGAAAGAAAAGGAATAAAAAAATAAGGAACAAGAGGGATGAGACAGAAAAAAACTGCATATTTGTTATAAGAAAACTGTTTGATTTTTCAGCACATGAGTAATTGAAAAAGAAATGATCTTAGTTAATATTTCTGAATTTAAAAAAAATGTCAAAAATGAGTGCTGTCATTTCTTGGCAAACCATGATCTGCACAGTGAAAGCACAAACCATTGGGTATTAGTTATTTAGAACGGACATTCCAGCACTCAGGACTCATTTTGCTTGGAAAGCGTCACAGGATGTGTATATTAATTATTTCAGTAGCACAATGATTGTATATGTGACTGAGCTGTCCCCTAATAGCTCCTGTTCTCTCAGACCAATTGCTAAATCTCTACAGTGCTCAACTAGTCTTGAATAAATTCTTCTTCTTCTTCTTCTTCCTCCTCCTCCTCACCTGCTTCTTCTCTTCTTTTTATACTGCTATCATACGCTTCTGCAACTAGCGGCATTACAGAGTCTGACTGTTTTTTTAACTTACATTTTTTTATGAGATGTGGTTCTTGAGAAAAATGTTGAGAATACCTTGGACTGCCAGAATAACCAACATTCAATACCTGGAAATGGCTGATAGAAGTAAAACATTATATACAACAATGAAAAGGAGACAAAGTTTTTTGGTCATGTAATGAGAAAAGGAGCACTGGAAAATATCATGACGACTGGAAAGATCACTGGTAGAAGAGGCAGAGGCAGAGGCAGACCAAGAGAATGATGGTGGACGGCTCAAGACAGTGGCATGGAGGAATATCATCGGTAGAATTGATCTAGAACACTATAGTCCGAGATCTGTGGCGACACATGAATGCCTACGCCAGCTGGCAAGGCACTTTATGATGGTGATGATGATTCTTGATGGAATACAGGCATTTGATTTAAAAGCTATAGCATCAGGGTTTGTCACTTTTATTCTTTTTTTAACCAGGAAAAATTACTTGAGCTATGTTATGGCAGACATTTTTCTTCATTTCTTATTATACATAAATAATTACTTGGGAGGGAAGGGGGGGAGGGGAAAGAGTCCTGAGTCGTGTCGTCATAGACTGTTTATGCTGGGATTGGTGACCAGTAGACATCTCCAAGTGGTGGTTCAAATGAGTAGGTTGTGTCATTTAGTCAGGTGATTGAAATAATTGCTTACCAATTTCTCAGAAATTCTTCTTTTTGTTTGCTTGAAATAGGTTATCTATATCTGCAGTGTGTCTGTAGTATGAACTTCACTGTTTTTTTTTAAATTCACTCAGCGACCCATAAAGTTTGGCTTGCACCGGTGTTTATCTTGGCCAAAAGTTTTGCCTTGATGTGTTGTATTTAGAACACTCTTGTAGGACGTGATTTGTTGTCTCAGGTGCCAGTCCACATGTGCACATGGCTGATTTGTCAATCTTAAGTTTAGTATAAATATGGCTGTTTTAATTCATAGAATAATGACTTGCTATGATCTGTCCATAATATTGTAATCATGCTGGTTTGGGTGGCTTTTTTATTGATCTGATTATTCTCTTCTTCTGTTGATAAGAGACTGTTACATCAGGTTGTTCTTTGTTTGCACCTTCCTTAGCTAGTTTATCAGCTCTTTTGTTTCTGGGAACTCCACAGTAGGATAGTATCCACTGCACGGTTACCTTACACAACTTGCCTAGTTTGGAGATCCAGGTCTTAGTGCCTGACATACTGCTCTTTCATCTGTCGGAATACCACAGGTTGGTAAATATGACTGGTTGTTAGCAGTTTCTATGTTGCTGTCTCAATGACTTGAACTTCTGCATTATAGTTGTGACAACACTTTGCGGTTGGTATTTTGGCTGTATATCTGGTGTTGTTTAGATGCTCAGTGTACACACCTGCTCCTCCTTTTCTACTTTCTCGTTTTATGCTGACCCATCTGTGTAGACATGAACCCAGAAATAATGTGTGTATTCATCAAGCAGGCTGAGGGTGGCTGTTTTTTTTTTTTTACACCATTTTGTTCTTCCTTGTCAAATACTCCTTTCACTTCTGTCTGGACGTGCATTGACAACTTATAATCCTCTCTTCAGAGTGTCCTGTCGGGAATAGCATTTAAGGAGCAATCTGTTGCAGGATGATCATTGGCGTGACTGCAGAGTCGTTAGGGTCTGGTGAATGAAACTGCTTCTGTTTAGTCGCTCCATTGCTAGATTTTGGAATCTATCTTTTAAAGGGGGTCAGGCATGCTAAGAAGCTTTTTTCTGCTTGTATTAGTATCTTGGTGTCTCTGCATTCTGTCAGTGTTTGGATCATCGCCATCTTCTCCATTACAGCTGTATGTGTTGATTTCGTCCCGCCTGTTATGATTCTGAGTGCTTGATTTTGTACCTTATCTAACTTTTGTAGTGCGGTTTTTGATGCTAAACTTCATGCAATTGACCTGTCTTCAAGGTATGGTGGTACATTTTGTTGATAAACTTTCCTAAGTATTTACCCACTAGCACCCCATGTGATTCCACTTAGTTTTCTTAGGATAGCTATCTTCCTTCTGGCTTTTGTTTCTGCCTTGTTGATGTGTTTTCTGCATGTTAGTTAACATGTCATCAGATACAATACAAAGGTATGTGGGCTCCTTATCTTATCTTAACTCTTTGAGTCTCAGGGGGTTTAGCATCAAATACCCAAGAGGTGGTAATGCAATTTTTTAATTTCACAAGTGTAAAACATTAATAAGAGACCACACTAATTCAACTGCCGCGCAACATACACATATTAGACATCAAAGTGACCAGGGATTGTTGAGGAATAATTTTAGCATAGAGCTAAACAAATAATTGCGTTAGTAATTGAAAATTAGTAAATAAAGAGATCGTATGTTTACAAAAATTAGTAAAATAAAATAAAAAAATTTCCACTTACCACCATGGCACTCAAGAAAAACTGGTTAAAATGTATCCAAAATGAATCACAAATGAATTTGAACCACTTAGTAATTTATAAGTAAAATATAAACTCAATTTACACATTAGAGTTTGTTCCAGAGAATTTTTTGAAGCATCATAACAGAGCACTATTATTTGGTTTAAAAAAAAACTGACTTCCAGAACAAAAGTATCTTCACACAAAACAAAGTTTACCTAACAATCAATTTGCCTGTAATTTTGTAGCTATGTTCCTAAATAATAATAGGAATAGCACTACAACTAACTGACACTGAAGAAAATCGTCTTTTCACTAATAATTATTCTTTTTGTGCCAGCTGACTTTGCTATCGTTGTACCCTGTTGAATGTTGAATTAAGAATCAACATCACAGCAATCGGGACACTCCCATAAGCACTCTGTCCCCATCTTCAGCAGCAAGCAAAGAGTTAAAATTGCGATAGTACCAGTAACAGTCTGATTGTAAATCTGTCTTGTAACTCCTCGCAGTGCCATTCTCCTCAGACCGTAATGATCTATCTGTTCCTCGGCACTGTTCACTCACTCCCAAAGGGCCCTCACAACATCCAGCTTGTCATATATCAGTTCACCACTAAGTGGTGCAGAACCGTCCAGTCTATCCACCTGCTCATTTCCCAACACACCGGTTCCCTGAAAAATATACAAAGGATGCTAACAACCCGGGACCTCTGAAGTGATGCTTGCCACTCTGCACGGAGCATGCCTGTCTTCACCTTTCTCAGCATGCTCTGTGAGTCAGTTACAATGACGACATGTGTGTACAGCTGATTCTCATGCAAATGGAAGGCAGCAGTGACTGCCATTCTCAAACTAGACGTTTGTGATATCATATGCCAGGCTTTGTTGCGCCAAGCGACATCCATTTGCCTTCGCTATGAACCCCCATGCACTTCGTCTACCCCTCACCACAGAGCCATCTGTATATACAATCACATCACTTGGGCCGAAATTGTCATGAATCATTTGGTGAACTTCTGATTCTGCAGCACCAGCTGGCCAGTCCCTGCACTCAA